AATTCTTCAACAAGAATCGAGCAAGGGCTAGTGAGTATGACTTTAGATTGTTTCTTCTACCAATAAACAATATCAAGAACCTTTCTTGATCAGATTCACAAGTGGAGATCAAACCTTTCTTGGATCAGCCTCCTAATCTAATTAGGAGAGAGTTTCCTAATTCAAATCTTATATTTGGATCTGGACTCTTAAATGGATAAGACTCCTCTTGTCCTTCAGCTAATCCTAATGAGTTTAAAACTGAATTCACCCCCTTTTAATTAACTAACTTAAGCCCAACATGCCCATTAAGCTTATGTGCTCACTTACTCAACCTACTGCCCAGTTGGCTCTCTTTGTATGGCGTGAGACCCTAACATTAATCTACACATCAGCCACATGGGTTCAACCCAGCCTTTGTTACAAGCCCTAGCTGAAACCACTGTAGGAGACAGTGAACCCTAAGTCCATCACCATGGGCTCTTAATAGGCCCAACATTTACACTAAATGGTTCTTGGATCTAGCCACCTTATGAAAATCCAAGAACTATGGGCAAATGCAAGATTAGCTCATCAGGTATTATCGTTAATGGTCTTACACTTAACCTCTCAGCCCTAAATGATCAAACACTGCCCTACAAGAGAGGACCTCTCCCTTGGTTGCAAGGTACAGGGTTGTACTCTCTACTCACATGGATCTCGGGAATTAAAACCTTTTTGCAAATATTTTGAAACCATAATATATAAGTATATCTTTATATAAATATATTTTGCAAAACCAAATTTCAAACATATTTGAAATCCACTGCTAGCAGTTTAGGTTTCCATCAGAGAGAGTGCATTCCCCGATCATTCACATTGTCCGACAAAGGGGTTGATCCTGTCATTATGATCACCCACTTAGGTGAATTCTCGGACTGTCCCAACATACCCAGGTTTTGACCCCCTCTAAGGATCTCACTGATTGGCATATCAAAGACAGCCTAGTCCGATACCTAGTGCAATACAATAATCGAGTCTAGGGGTCTGGTGTAATTTTTCAGTTTTGTCATCTCTCTTCAAGGTCCAGGGCAATACTGGAAATTGGTCTGCTTCAGAGTTTCAAGAAAATCCACACTGCATGTACCTCAGGTCTCACCATGACAGCTGAGATAGGCCACCCCAACCAATTTGGTGGCACATTAGTGTTAGCCTTATAGACCTTCCTAGATCTATCCAACGGCTGTGAAGATTCTAAATTAACACGAGGGTAAAAACACAAAAACATACCACAATGACATGAATCAATTTTGCACTTTTATTCATTTACAATAAATATCCAAAGATGCATCAATCTGATTGGAGCTGAGGGCATAACTGTCTAACACACAGATATACCAAAAGCTTGGCAAGTGCCTTTTAGTGAAAATAATCTCTTAGGGTGTAGAACTTGAAAAGGAATCCTGGGTGGGGTAGCAAGTCATCCTAAACGATTGCTTGGGATTCATGGCACTTTTCCATTGTAAATATACCATATATTTTATCATCAATTTATAAAATACGACAAGTTACCAATAAAAAAAAAAAAGATCCATTCTTCTCTTTGCCTTGATCCACGCAAAGGGTGTTATAGTTTCTCTCCATCCTTTATAACATTTTGGACAAAATATTTTTCATTTGTGTAATGCAGGAACCTTTGGGATACGTGGACATCAATCTTACTGATGTTGTGAAGAACGGATGCACCAATGAGAAATGCCATCTGATCAATTCAAAGAATGAAGTGATACACGTAGAGATGCAAATTCCTCATTTTTGAGTGGTTTGTCTGTAGACATTTCCAAATTATTTCTATTATAAATGGGCTAATTTGCAGGTTTTCTTAATGGTATGTAAAGTAAAAATCAGTGAGAAAATACTCAAGTTAATAATTAGGTAAAGGTGGATGAGAAAAAAGAAAATGGAAACAAAGTTGAATTGACAAGGTGAGGCTTTGGGATAGCACATCCCTGCTGTAAATCTTCAGTCCCATTTTCAAGTTGACAAGTTTGAGTTGCTTAATTAGCAGGGTCCTTTCAAATTTTCAGGTGGTGTTGTCTCCATGTATTGCAATCAGTCTGAGAAGAGTGCTAACTTGATGGGTTCTCAAACATCATTAAATCAAAGCTCATTATTAATGCGGATGACATCAAGAGCAAATGGAACTGCCTGCCATCTCAGGGTGCATTCTCCAAAGGAACAAATAAATGTATACTATGCTTTATTTATTTTAATTGAGTTCTCACAACTTAATACTGATCATCTTCTATGCCATCCTTCGCTTCTCTACCCTTTTTTTCCTAATCAATATTTAACATTTTTTGTGACATAAGTGCTAATTTTGTTCTCTTTCATCCAGTATTATTGTTGTTTCTGTAATTGGTTTCATTTTAATTTTTTTATCATACAAATTTCTTAGTTTCATCCATGCTTATTTTTGTGGTTAATGCTAGGCATTTCCAAACACCACATGCTTATTAAATTGTTCTGGTCAGCTAAATCTCTTGGGGCATGATAGTATGGATATTGAATCCTTAGCAAAAATTGAGGAATTGCAAGATAAAGAGTTGGAGGAGCAAGAGCACAGACGTCAGTGTGAACTTGAAGAAAGAAAAGCACTGAAAGCTTATCTTAAAGACCAAAGAGCTTTGGTTGAGGCTAATGCCAGATGCACTCTTCTTGGGTTTCAATTCTTTGTGGAGTTCTGGGTGGAATAAATGTACTGAAATTGGATTAAATTCCTCAAATATCGTTCCTGAAGCTAACCTGGACCAATCACCCACTTTATTCCATCAAATGCAGGCTGAACCGGAAGCTTTGAATCAGTTGGCCAGTGATTCAACTATTCAATGTAGAGATGGTACTGCTTTTAATGCACCTTACCAGTTCATGAGTGGTGTGCTGCATGGGATATTAATTAATTCATTAGATAGAATGAAACAACACTTAGATTTTACAAATTTTAGTATGTTTGATAGGTTATATCTAATTTCATGTCTTTTAGGAAAAAAAAGAAGAAAAAAAGTATTCAATTAGATTATCTCTCTCAAGGTTGAGATTATTTATTCTAACCATGACAAATACATTACTTTTATAATTAATAGTTGTCCAACTACCTGTTTTAGGATTAATATAAGAGAAAACTAAAAGTATCATATCTGTAGCCGGCCATCTAAAAGATGATATGAAGCATTTTTGCAAGGCCTCAGTGGGCATCTTCCATCCATTCGTTTGTATATAATCATTAATGCAGTAATTTCAGAAATCAGAATCGCCCTATCATAAACACTTAATGAGTTATAAAATGAGCAGATTTGTTTTCCTTTTTTCTTATTTTTTTTCAAGTCATTTCAGTTCAAAGTAATGAGTCAGTGAGGACACTCTCATAGCTTATGTCATGACTCATGAGCGGTTTCTACCGTGTTCATCAGTCATTGTCTCAAAATTTTAACCAAATTAAATTAAATAAGGATTTTTAAATTAATTTTGTCTCCAAGCCAATGGAAGATGAACAAGGTGTATTCGATGAGAGAGAGCTCATTGGATCAATACTTCGATCATGTCGTCAACCATCTATGGCTAAAAATGAAGTTGCGTGTTTATATGCATTTCACTTAATTCCACAAACCCATGACAGGAAAAATTTTTATTTAATATACAAACCATATGTCATACTCTTTTCGTCATTACTAGCACTCGGAAAAAAGAAAAAGAAAGCAACTAGGTCAACTCCCCTCATTTGGTAATGAAAGTTCATTCTAGTTTATATCAATTCTCATTCTCATTTTTAAATGAACCAAACAGATTATGAGACGAGGCCTTTCCTATTCTGATTTCTATGATTTAATTAATTCCCAGTTTGGAAGGAGTGATATGTACAGTATAAATATATATAAAATAATACAAAATATAAGGTTTTGCATTCTACATATTTATATTTGTATTCCTTTTAAACTGAGCCTAAGACTGTATTTGGTTGCTGTGCAATTTTATTTGTATTGGCTCAGTTTGGAAGAAGTACAAATACAAATATGCACAGTACAAAACCTTACATTTTGAATTATTTTGTATATATTCGCACTGTACATATTTGTATTTGTATTTCTTCCAAACTGAGCCAATGTCTGCGAGTGCAAATGAAAAGAATTCTAACTCTGGTTTAATTTTATTTTACTTCGTCACTTTTAGTGCAATCAAACAAAATAAGGTGAATTTTGAGACAAAAATAAATCATAATTTGCACTACCATGGTTTTGCATCGTTGCACCATAACAAAATACAGCCTAAAGCTTAGTTTGAAAGGAGTACAAATACAAATATATAAAATGCAAAACCTTGCATTTTGTATCATTTTATATATTTATATTTTTACTCCTCCAAAACTGAGCCTAAAATCCGATTCCAATTAACTGTAAATCAAACGAACACATGCTATGTTTGATTTGAAGAAAAAGGTAGAGAAAGGAAGAAAAGAGTAAAAAAACCTATACAAAATTTATAAAGGTTTTCTTACCTTTCCCTACTTTTTTTTCTTCAAACCAAATAAAGCTTAAATTCAAAATCGACTAAATAACTAATATGTGGAAATGCAAATGACAGTGTGTGATTGCACGTGGTTATACAAGATTTTCATCTTTTATAAGTCTTTTAATATTCCTCTTTCTGTATAATTTATTATGTTAATGCATACTTTCGAGGGTTGAAGTCATACTTCTAGATCTCATCTTCCCAAGATTGCATACGCTCAAAAGCAGGCTGACTGAAATGGGAAGAGATAACTTCTTGGGCCCGCTGCTTGCAGCGTTGGCATAACTGGCATTCCAATATTTAACTATCAACCCTAATAATAAATTATTATAGTTTTTGGTAAGAATAATAAACTATTATATGAACAGATAAACTCACACCCAAATGCAAGTTTTTGTTTGTATTCAATATTCTTCCAATATGGAACATAAGAGTGGAGAGAAATGACACTATGGCAGTTGGAGAAAACACGGATAGATAGTTAAAATTTGTGTTTCATAAACAATATTAGCAGCTGATACACTTCCAAGTAATAAATCTCCAAAGTATATAATCTGGAGTGAAAAGTGTCCAGGGAAACAGAAAGCTGACCAGGAACCTAAAAGCTAATGTGCTCCCTTCTTTTTTTTTTTCTCTCTCTCTCCGTTTCTTGATGTCTGCAACGGGGACTGATAAGAAAAGTCAAGCTTTTCCTTTCTCTTTCTTCCGTCTCTCTCTCTCTTCTTCCCTTTCACTATCTTGTCATCTTTCGCTTATTTCTTCTCGCCAAAGCAACCAAAGCAGCTAAAGCGTGGTTTTTCTATGAATACCTACAGGAACGGAAGAGGCTTGAATAATTTTCCTCACTTCGAAAGATAACGAAAGGGGAAAAGGTCCCATCTAATATCAACTTCCTTGCAGGGCGTTTCAGTCAAGACTGTAAGATGTACTTGTTTCCAACTGTTGAAAGCTTCTGTTCCTCAGCTTTCTGTCCCATCCATCAATATTCCAAAGAATGTGGGTCTCATGGGTCTGCTCCCAATCAACCAACACTCTCTGCTCTTTTCCTAATCTGTAAACATTCTGGTAATAACAAGAACTGAACAAAAAGTAAACTCCTCTGATATCAACTTCAAATAGGAAATGTTTATAGGAAGACACTTTGAATGAGATTGCACCATAAGAAAACTAACTAGAGTTGTTTTTGTTACTCTTATTTCCGAAGCCTTGTTACAAGTCCCTCTTAGTTTCTCCAAACGAGTTGTCTGTCCAGTCAAACAGGCTGAATGGATCCAAGGTCTTGGTTTCTCTATCATCTGATTTTCCTTCGTTGAATCCTTGGGAGAGTAATAGATTTAGAGGGTCAGGTTCCAATTCTCCCAAATCTGCAAAGAAGTCTTCAGACTGGTTTGAATCTGGTGGTCCTGGCCGGTAACTTTGGGGGAACTCTGGACTTAATTCATCACCATCATTCATATCCATTTGCTTCTCTATCTCTCCCATTTCTTCTTTAACAGGTGCACTAGTTGTCAAATCCTCGGCAGCAACATTAACGTGCGGCACAATATTGTTATTGCTCTCCTTGTATTCTTCTTTCATGTTTGTCGACTTTTCTGTCTGAGAAGACTGTGAATTCTTGGGAGCTGCATTGTGTTTTGCAGGCTGAGACCTTGAGCAGCCGGCCAGTGCATTTCTCTGTGTTGGCCAGGGATGGTTATGTTCAGAGGTGTAGGTGATAACCAACATGTTAGGATCAGTTCGACTTCTCTCTACTTGTTTCCTCGCTGAACAGCCTTTAGAGCTACTGCATCTATAATAGCCCCTGGAAAAAGTATAAACGTCACAGATTAAAAAGGACCTATACTACCAAATTTGGACCCAAATCCCAAAATATCACAAGTTTTTCTCAAATGGACAAACTAACAACAATTCGAGTCTGAATGGAATTATTCATAGGTAATAAGGATAATTTCTTTTGCCATCCTAAACTACACTGATGAAGCCATTAAATGTAAAATCCAATGTCAAAAATAGTAAAATTAAACACACTGTCTTTGTTTTTCATTAATGAAAATTTTGGATTTGATTTTTCACATTCTTGACCATTCGAATTTGTGTTTTCTTCTAAGGGTTCTTTCTTGAAACTTACCTCGGGTAAGGAGAACCTTTGATAGGCTTCTGACCATACTTTCTCCATGCCCAGAGATCAGATGGCACTACTTCTCCACTTGGCCTGCTATTTGCGGCTGCTGGTGCTGGAATGCAAACCACCTTCTTCACTTGGCTCTTTCTGAGAAACAAAGGAAAAGTTGATTATTGTCTGCTCTTAAATCAAGAAGAAAGAAGAAGATTCCTTCTTTCTTAATTTACCATTTCTAATTAGCAATACTGCTAACCCTTTTTCGAATGCGAATGGGATTGCTTTGCTACTAAATTTCATAATTTCTTCCGGGGTGAAAATTCTATCTGGCTCTATTTCTCTAAAACAAACTGTAATTTCCTTTTCCAATCAAAGAGAAAACTGGAGAGGACATGATTTCTTGAGAATTGCAAATAATAAAAATAGTCAGTGTGATATGTAAGGCTAATATTAATGAAATAGCTTAAGGTAGTTAAACACAGGAATAGCTTTAAATAACTGCATGGAACCTATTCCAAACCTTTTCTCCAGGAACTTAAGAAAGAGGAGCTAGCAAGCTAGCAACGTTTGTGCTTATTCTCCTGATACATGAATTTACCAATTCCTTTCCCAGATGAATTGAACTTGTATATATATGAACACAAATCTCTGGCGGTTATGTATTGACAGAAGAAACCTCATCTGAAATGGTAGAGTTTCTGATAATTCATCGTTGATTCATACAATAAATGTCCACCGATCCTCAACCATGAAATGGTAGAGTTTGTGAATCAACCATGAAATTCTTTTCCATGAGTTAGAAACTCAAGACTTGAAAAGACAAAATCAAAGAAATCTTCCATCTAAATCAATTTACTCACCTTCTCTTAATGCCCGGATTCCTCGGGGAAGAGATCTGCACTCCGCAATTGTCGATTGTGCAGCCACCTGAGCTGTTAGTCCTGACCATATCATTAGAAACCATGGGAGGTGTCTTAATTTCTCTAGGAGAAGACACAACCGCCGATATATCACATGGCGAAACCGGAATCTTCACATTTGGTGAAATCTGAAGCATTCTTGAAAAGATATTGCAAGGCCTCATCTCCTCGTCAAAAATCTTCTGAGCAAGAAGACTACCACTGCTAAGACAATTATTGTCCTCAAAACTCATCTTCATCAGGCTGCTGGTAGAATTCGGGGTGTCAAATAAGCCTGTACCTGCTAAGTCAAGCTCAGGTAGCATAGGATCTCGCGTAGAGAAGGGATCACCGAAGCTGTCAGCTGGTTCTTCGATCTCCGACGGAAAATTTGCAGATTCTGGAGGAAATTTCCAATCAGCAATAGTATTTTCAGTACTAGCACCATAACCATTACTTCCACCACCACCACGCACTATGTCTGCTAAATCTCCATGATCATTTTCCATGATCTGCCAAAAGAAGCTACACATAGTTCTAGCTGAGAAACTAAAAATAAGAGCAGCAGCCCGACCTAACTGGATTGAAGTTTGATCGTTCTTGCATCAAACAAACGTTAAAAACCATGAATTATTTTTCGATTTCTGCGCCTAGTTTGGCTACTAATTACTTTTCAGGGATGGGGTTTGGTGAGGAAGCATGAAAGCAAACAGGCTAAGAAGGTTGAAACTGTTGTTCACAAAAATAAAGTAGTTTCTCTAAGACTACACCCAGAGAGTGATTAATCTTGTCGACCAGGGTAATTTATCAAGTAACACCAAAAGGGTCAAATCCGCGCGCTGTTCCTTTCTCTTTTCCCTCGTTTTGTATTTTGACAATTGAAAATCGCTCACCCTTAACTCTTACCACGAACGAAGACCTTTTCACAAAGTCGTTTTACTAAATACGTCATAGAATATTAGAAAAGCAAAGAAGCGGCAAGTAGCCGCACTTGTCGGAAAACGTTTCGAAACGAATTCCATCCCCCGGACACTGCCCGTTTCGTCTCGTGACAATTAGCACTTCAAGATATTTTTTTCTCTTTCTTCTTAACTTCATTCCTCTGTATACCAATGTTTTAAAAACCTACTCGTACATCGAACCGTTTTGCCTCCAGGTCGCGGGTCACCGGTTCGACCGGCAGAGTCGAACGGTTCACATCGTGTCATGTCATCGCATATATATTTATATACATAGATATATATTTTTGCAATAAATAGTGTATAAAACTATAAATGTGTTTTGAGATATGTTACATGTATTATTTTATATTTAATATTATGTTTTTTAATTCAGTTTTTATTTTTATTTATAAAATATTAAAAATTATAATTTGAGGCAAGAAAAGGTTATTTTTCTGAAAATAGCAAGGCAAGGCGCCTATAGCCCCTTGGGATGCATAGATCTCGAAAAGTTACCCAAAATAAAAAAAATTACTCCAATCGAACATTAGAGTGCAAAGTTATAGCCTTCGAAAGTTTTACATACAATGAGTATGCAAACCGCAACCCGATCACCAGAACGAATGAGTCAATGGTTGAACCGGTCGGGTCGAACGGTTCTTGACCAAGTCAAAAATTTTTTACTATCTGATGGGTGTTGATTGAACCGAACCTGAAATCCTGGTCGGGTGGCAGTTCAAACGGTTCGACTGACCGGGTCAACGGTAGGTAGAAAACATTGCTATATACTCTTTTCCAAGAATCCGATTATGCTACTAGAAAGGTATGATACCTAAAATACTCATCTTCAACCAGTATCATGACCTCCCGGTATCTTGGAAATTGGCATTCTCTAACGAGGCAAACTAAACCGTAACAGAATAACAGTCATACAATGTTTTTAAAATCGGACTGGACCAGATGGTCAGACTGAAAAAACGGGTTCCGTTTCACCCTAGAATTGTCTTTTGGCCAAAAACCATTGATTTAGTCAGCGAACCAATGACCCGACCAATTGAACCATTCGAACCATCGACTTAGACAATAATTTTTGACCATTTTTCAATTTTTTAATTTTTTTCAGAACGAACCATCCATTCAATTAAAACGATTGAATCATTTAACCTCAGAACCGAACCCTGAACGATTCGTTGTCCAATTCGATTTTAAAAACCTTGCTATCATATAAGTCGTACCCATTTAATTGTAGTTTCCATTTTTACGTATCGAAGAGGGGCACAATTCGGTTGGTTGGGTGGGGATAGGGTGGGGATAGAGATCAAAAGAACAATAACTAGATCTCTTCTCCAATGACCAATTAATCCAACCTAGAATGAACTCGATCCCTTAAAATAATTTATTTTTATAAATTTAAACCAAACTGTAAGATTAGAAAAGTAGTCTCCTTGATTCAAATTTCCCATTTGTTTATGAAAAAAAAAAATGATGATGATCATTACTTAACCCTGGAAACAAGAAAGAGTAGATCATTGTCCTATATTCATTGAAGTGGAGAATTAGCATCGCTGAAATTTGTCCAGCAATGTTAAACTTTAAATAAAAAAAAAATGAAGTAAAAATAAAAGGAGTATAACTATAAAAAACAAAAACAAAAACCTCAACAAAGCATTAAGACTATTTGGCTGTGATTGGTCTACATAAAATAAGAGAGAAGCAAATTGTATAGGGAAGTCTTTAAGAAATTTTACAAACATTTTAAGCTTTATTTGTTTACAATTCAGATTAGAAAAGATTGGAGGTAGCAATTCGTGTTCCTGTGTTGTATTTGTGTGGTATGAAGGTAAGAGTATTCGGGTATATAGGTTAACACAAATACAAAACAATTAATTAATCATGTTAAATTTTCAAACATGGAAAAAACTTGTTTTTTTATATCAGTAACATGACATGGCCCATATAACACAAATTAATATGATTAGCCAACTTAATTCATTATTAATTAAATCACACATATAACTCAAATTAACTTGAAAATAATATGATTAACTTGTTTACACCAAACGATAAATAGATTTAAATACTAAAATAAACATTCAATCATCCATTAACTAAATAAATTCATAAAAACTATTCAATGTCATAATAGTATTTCATCCAAATATACATAGATTACCTAATACTGAAATAAGTCATTTAGAATTAAGTGGGTCACCCAAAATTGATACATTTATTAATTGTATTAAATAGATTGACATGATTTTGACACCAAAATAATTAATATAAACCCAAACCCACTATCTTTGTGCCGTATTTAACTTGTTGTGTCAAGTATACCAGCCTCAGAAAGGACACAAATTTATACCCAACTGAGCCAACTAAATTTTGCATCCATTTGGTTGTAAGTATGATTTACATTCTCACCTGATACAAAATTGTGCTTTTTATCTCATTTGCACTCACTATGGGTGAGAATTTTGCATATGAGAATCTGATGCAAAAGTTGCACCACCGTCCCTCTACTTCAATTCTTTCTCATATAAAACGAGCATCACATCATCTTCCTTTATACCAACTCGCAAACAATATATTTCAATTTGGTTCTAACTTTACTTCCAACAAACAAAGAGGATAAGACAAAATCCAAAACAAAGTGAACTAGAATTTACACTTATTCTATTTGTGGTTCCTTGCATTTATACCCGTGCATGAAATTTGTATGGCAAACTGAGGCTTAGGCCATGTTTGGGGGTGCTTATGTTAAAAATAGGTACATATTAAATAAATGCTTAAACATTTATTTCATATTGGGCGTTTAGTAGGCTTTTTCTCTAATAAGCACTTAAATAAGCATTTGCGACAATTTTGTCCTTCATTTTTTTTAAAATTTTATGAAAGCACTTTTATGAAAGAACTTTAACAAAAAAACTTTTATGAAAGCACTTTTATAAAATCACTTTTACAAAAGTACTTTTATGAAAGCACTTTAATAAAAACACTTTTATGAAAGTACTTTCATATCATAAAAGAACTTTTATGAAATTACTTTTATAAAAATGCTTTTACGAAATCACTTTTAAAAAAATCACTTTTATGAAAGTACTTTTATAAAAACACATTTATGAAAACAATTTAATAAAAGCACTTTTACAAAGCTAAGAATAGTTTTATAAGTGGTATTTTAAAATTCAACTAGGGACAATTTTGGAAGAAAAAATTTAATAACTGCTTATTGTATAAACATTTAAAAAAGTTAGAAATTTGGACTTAAAAAATAAGCCCGTATTTTTTAAATAAACACTTATTACGAACTTATTTCTCAAACACCAATAAGTGCTTAATAGTGTAGTCTTGACCCAAATAAACACTTATTTTGAATAAACACATATTTTTAAGGATTCCCAAACATGGCCTAATAAAATTTCCTCAATTCTCTATTTCTGTCTTATTTTCTATGAAAGAAGATATAACCTCAGATACTCCTGATCTTTCGGTGGACTCTATAAAGTGTCGTGTTGATCCTTATTGAAATTGTTTGGATCGATTCAGATCATTTCTCATTACTTTTATCGGTGTACTGTTCCTATCCTGTGCATTTTTAGAGCTCTCCAAAGTCACTAGTCATTTGCGCAGATTTCCCCACTCCCCCCCTCGCATATTGCCAAACCATCAAATCAACTTTTCTTCAGCTTGTCACCTATTAAAGCAATTATTAAGTCTTCCATCGTTCATTTTTGTTAATTTATCCTTCTTAATTAGACTTCCACTTATCAATCTTGTAACTCAATTCAGATCATATTCCATTGCTTTCAAACATGAACTCGTCTCTAGATACTGTTTTTAGACCTTTCGGTTCTAGAAAATGTGGTTCGAGGGCATGAGCCTATCCTTAAATTGTAAAGAGTAATTGGTCACAGCCTTATCATGGCAGTTCGCTAGAACCGTAGGTGAAAAAAAAAAGAAAAAATTGAAAGCCTAAAGGTGGTGTTTATGGGACTGAGTGTAAGAAAAATATGCAACTTCTAAAACATTTTTCACTTTGAAGAGAGGATGCATGGAAGTTATTGGCCATAAGATAATCCAAACGATGAGGAGCATTCAGTTGTGACGATTGAACAAAAATGTAAGAATAGATACTAGCTATGATCAAATGAGCAGCATTCAGTTGTGCTTTGTTTAAGATAGTTTTTTTCCCATGCCGACAATCTCCTACACGTTGTTACATCAGCTGTAGTCCACCCTCTTGATTTTGGTGATCCTTTGAAAATTTTGTCTAGTGATAACTGAACTTCAGGGAAAAAAAGAAAAAATAGGAGGAGAGTAATAGTAAGTTAGCAACAGTGATTTTTTCTGAAGTTCAGTCATCACTAGACAAAACTTTCAAAGGATCACCAAAATCAAGAGGGTGGACGACATGATGTGACAATGTGAAAGATCAATTGTGGGCTTGGGAAAAACCATCTTGATGAACATCATCTTAAAACTGAATGTTGCTCATTTGATGATAGCTAGAATCTTCTCTTGTGTCCCTCTTCTTATTACTTATGAAGATAATGCCAGTCTTCTGCACTAGTCTAATGAATTAGAGGTCTAGGCATTAGTGTTTCCTTACCCTAATGATAATACACCTGATCGATATTGCTTTCCTGGCTGTTTATACTCTTCCTTCAGGGAAATTAAGGTCTAATGTGGTTAAAGCATTTACTTAATGTTTCTTCATTCAGAGGAGCTTGTCTCTCTGATCAACTCTAAACTTCTATGCTCATCACTGGTAGAAAGCCTCTCCCCATTACCCAAGAGTTGGTCATGGAACTTGGTAGGAAGATTAGTAGGGGACATAAC